CTGAGTTCTTGAGAGGTTTTTTGTATGGTTTATATCTTCTAATTGAGGAGTGAGGGGATTTTTTACAAGTGCTACAGGGGGAATAAAATGAGGGATGATGGTTTTTTTTGTCGAGTGTTCTTTGTAAGTTTTCTGATAGACTTGGTGGATGGGATGGAGGTGGTAAATGTTCAGCTAAATTCAAGAAGAGAGATACCAATAGCAACTATCCTGTGTTGATTGCTTAGACGCTAGCTCCCATTGTTTGAGGGGGTATGCTACGTAATGATATTATATTTCTTTGTGTCTGCGTGGCTTTGCTGCGCCTTTGTCGAGTCCCGAACACAGAAAGGAGGGAGAGATTCGCAGAATTTCACAATGAAGAACTTGATTCGAAACCTTGATATATGAGAGACTGGATTTCATTTATCAATCGATTGCAATTCTCCCCGTAAAAGGCATATATCTAGAAGGTCAGTCAACAATGTACATACTCAAGTATGCCACAGTCCTTGGATGGGCACTCATCACACTAGCCTCGCCCATCCAAGACCTAAAAGAAACATTGAATACTCTCCACAACACCCTCAGCCCCCGCGTAAACCCCTTCGCCTGTCCGGCCAACAAACTCCACAACCCCACCGTCACAGAATGGAAATGGGCCCTAGACACCTACTGCTCGCGCCATACCCCCACCCTAATAACCAGCGACTCGCCCCTGATTTTCACCTACCAGCTGACCGCCTTCGACGAGAAACCGATCAAATGGGTCTTCAAAGTGTGGATCGACGACGGCATGCGCGAAGTGAGGGGCGGGGTGGGTAAGCCGACCAAGTACTCGTTTAATCTCGATAGGGAGTTGTGTAAGAAGAAGTTTATGAATATGGTCACAGAGGGGAAGGGTGGGGGGATGCCCAAGGTGGTTTGTGAGGTAGGCAAGGAGAAGGTCTTTCGTGGGGGGAGTTATAGGGATTGGGTGGTTAAGGGTCAGCTTGGGCAGGCAGTTTGGGAGTCGAGGCGGCTCAAGGGGGATGATGGGTGAAGAGGGTGTGATTTGAGTGTATTGTCCTTTTTTTTGCTGGCCGATCAATGTTTCCATTGGTCGTTGTGTGTTCGGTTGTGTTTTATTTTTCTATCCTCTCACAAGTGCGGCTGGTATCTAGGAAGCCGGCATTTCAATAGCTGAATAATTAACATCCCTCCCTGGGTAACGCAAACCCCCCCGTGCCGCAAGAAAAGAGGTGCACTTCATCTTCAGACGACGATATTTTTATTCACGCGTTATTGTTATACTGTAGTTATAGATAGGTCACATATATTTTTTACCTTCTTCTAGAGGTATAGATATCTCTGCTTATAAAAATTACGCTATTATTATTAAATCTACGCTAATCTGCAAAAGACACCTTATTAAGAAAAAAGTAGTAACACCGCTAGAGAAAGCCTCTATCTCGCTCTACTACACCCCTATATTGAGAAATTAGGTTATATATATACTAAGGAAACCTTTAGCTACGCTATAGAGTTAATCCTAGCCCTTAGTGCGGCGTGGCGCTTATATCTATGCGTAATTGCTACCCTCATTAGTACTTCTACGGCAAGCAGCTTTAGTATATAGATAGTATAGGATAGTCTATAGCGTAATTTTCGCCGTGCTAAGCTTGTAGCTTCGAAGCCCTATGGCTGTATAAGCCCTGGAGTCTTGTCAGCAAGTTGAAGATTACGTGGTAGTCAGCGTTGGCTTTACTTATAATCACAATCTCTCGTAACTATGTATTACAATAACGGCTCGTTAACCCGACAGTCTAGCCCCAAACTCTGTACCAACGCATCAATACATTTTTGCAACAGGTGACTTCCATAACAGTCCTGTCTCTGGCTGACGCAGCCCAGGAATGTTGTCAGCTCGCACTGGAGCGTCAGCCTCTTCACCTTCTCCTTGCAGATTCGCACCTGCTACTTCTCTCACATCTTCTACAGTTACAGTCGCTAGCGATTGCAGTTTCACCCCTGCTCATAGCTGCAACATCCTTTACGCTAACCTGAAAATAGGGTT